TTGCTATTGATTCTTATTTTCTCAATACGTCACTTTTTAAGAGATACACACTAGAAGATAGTCATGCGATTTACATCTCAGGAGAAAAAGTTCATATATGGATTTTATGGCTACATGATCATATATAAAAATATATATATATATATATATATATATATATATATATATATATATATATATATATATATATATATATATATTGAAAAAATGCTGTGAAAATATCATCAAAAGTAAATGCTTATATTTATGATAGCCCATGATGTCGTCGTTTAATTGAATCAAATTGTTTTTCTTTTTTCACTCAATAGTATTTGTTTTATGTATAGACATATATCATTAGATATGGTTATATGTAAGGTCACATATATGGGCAAAAAAATTTTATATATAATTATATACAAGGTGAGTAAAAAGTCCAGGACTGGTGAAATATCTCGAAAACTAAGCATTTCCGAAAGAAATATTTCTTGCGAAAGTTATATGGTTTTAAATGATCTATTCACAGATCTGGTCAGTCTGACCGTGGGTGACCCCGCCAAGGTCAGGTCGAGGTTAACTTTGCTTTTTTAAATAGAAACATATATTTTTTTATTACGGAATTTTATTCTACGTAAAGAAACAACATAAAGAAACAACATAATATTTTCAAACAACTTTTGTTTGAAAATATTTTCATACGACTTCTATTTTCTAAGATATTTATGGAAATATCTACAAAATTATTGGTTTCAATAATTTTTTATTCGAATTCTATCAACTTTATCGAAGAATAGCAAGAGATAAAAATTATCCATTTTCTTCTTATAGTGCTCTGAGAATTTTTCAGAATTTTTTAAAAACATTTTTTAATACATCAAGAAAATGCAAGAAAATGTAATACTAAAAAGTTAACTAAAAAATTATGAAAAAATTCTCAAAGTTCTATGAAAAGAAAATAAGCAATTTTTATTTCTTGCTATTCTTCGATAAAGTTGATGGAATTAGAGTAAAAAATTATTGAAACCAATAATTTTATAGATATTTCCGTAAATATCTTAGAAAATGGAGGTCGTACAAAAATTTTTTTCAAACAAGAGCTATTTGATTTTTTACGTAGAATAAAATTCCGTAATAAAAAATATATATTTCTGTTTAAAAAAGCAAAGTTGACCTCAACCTGACTTTGGCGGCGTCACCCAAGATCATACTGACCAGATCTATGAATAGATTATTTAAAACCATACAACTTTTGCAGGAAACATTTCTTTCGGAAATATTTAGTTTTCGAGATATTTTACCGGTTCGGGACTTTTTACTCACTCTGTATATAATTATATATATTTTTACATAGTTATATATGAACTTTTTTCCCGAGATGTATACATATGTTAATCTATTTCTCATCGAGGGAGATAAAGGAAGAGATACGTTATTTGTAATCATGATAATTCGTTGAATCCATATGTGTGTATCTAGTCGAGTAACTAGGTCGAGTAACTAGGTTCGTTTCAGCTATTGTATCAAAAAACGAAATATGCTGAATGAAGCGGAATGATAAATCAAAATGGCTCCAATTTATTTAATATCTCGCTCTTCAAGATACACGCTAAAAAGTAGTCAGGTGATTTATATGTGTACATATATTAATTTATTCTTCGCTAATGAAGGAAGAGGCGCGTCACTTATAGTCATTAGATAATTCGTTGAATCCATATCTATTGGTCGAGTAACTGGGTTCGTTTTAGCTATTGTATCAAAAAGAGAAATATGCTGGGTGAAGCAGAACGATAAATCAAAACTTCCTTCGTATACGCAAGAATCTCAGTGGGTGGGCGTATTCGTGGCATGAGTACCGGGAACGGAGATTGCGTTCGATGTATTCCACATAATTACTTTCGTCTGCTCGATCTCTCGGATATATCGTCGGTGGCTGCCGCGGACTTGCTGCAGCTGTTACTTCTTGTTACGCTTGCGAAACTAGGTACGCGCGTTAAGTTCCGCAGTTGCAGGGAGGTTTTAGAAGGGTCTGAGAAGGAGGGGATGAAAGGGTGGATGTTGAAGGAGAGGAGCGGTCGAGGTTGGCTGGTGCGGAAGGTAACTGGGAGAGGGCCGAACGAACAAGCACGTACGTCATTAGGTTTGCACCGTTGAGGAGAAACTGCTTAAATTCCCCTCTGTCCCGCATCATACACACTTGCGCGTCTACCGTAAACGGTGGACATCGGGGGGAAATAAAATATAGGAAACGAGAAGAGATAACTAAGCGTTTTTGAGCGCGTTGAGGATTCGAGTCGAGTGATGTGCCATTAAGGGAGGCATGGTAGTTCGGGTTATTAAATGAATCAAATTTGCTTCGGGATAACGAGGTGAGTTATATATGACCGCAGGTGCGGACGACAAATTTTGCTCGATAAAAATAAATTTGGCTTATATTTATTATGTGGAATGCCTCACGCAACTTACATTGTTGACATGCAATGTGATTGACAATTCCTTTTTTGGTGCAACTATGACATCAAGATCAACTTGTGACACTGACCTTTCCAAATATTTAATTACTAAGTTTGCAACTATGGTCTGCATTCGAATCAGATTAATGTGTGCTTCAATGGTAAACAAGAATTTCCATACTTCGGTGAAACGACGCATGCTTATCGTAGATGATAGATTTTCTTTGTGAAGGTATATAAAAGAAATAAAAGTGTCTTATATTACGGGTTTTTTTTATGGGTAAGTTTAGACAAGAGATCCCAAAAAAATGTAATTTACTAAAAGACTTGTGTAAAAAAGCAATAATAATAACTATTATTGTCAATAAGTAATTCTCTACCACTTATTCGCTGTCTCTTTTATTGGTTATCGGTCTTTCTTGGCGATGTTGCCCTTAGGTTATACTACTGAATCGCAGATTCATAATGCGCCATTCCATGAGCTATCCCCTTCCCTTTCGATTTTACGGCAACTTGAACTTCCTTCGGTTTCTCCAAGAAATAAAAGTTCAGGAAACGGACTAAAAAGACGGTTCCTGTTCACGTACACTCTTTTGGCGATGCTGTGGTCGGATTGTATCGAAGAGATCCGGAATGAGAGAACGTCGTACGTCGGGCAGTATTGTATGCGAAAAAGAAGGGAAAGAAATGAAAAAATATATAAGGAACGTGAAGGGTCCGCGCAACAAAAAACAGAATAAGAACCAGTCTTGAAGTTATTTCGATTGCTTCAAATCAATCGAGATCAAGACGCGACGATAATCGACACAGTCAGTCTAGTTCGGCTAAAATAAACCACAATTCAACCAGAGTGCATATATGAGCTCGTGTACATTTATCGATGAGCATGTATATACTCGCAGAGACACTCGTACACGACGATGTGCTGAAGATTCACACCCCAATCAACGGTAGGACGCCTAATATTTACGAGTGGAGTCATGACTCCGCTCGTTCTTCCTCGGGAAGACTTACTTGTTCACTCCTCCCTTCCCCTTTTGCTCTCAATGTCTCCCGGTGTAATCCGCGGCAACCAGGTACTTCGCGATATCGGATGATATTTGCACGATTCAGCTGTCGATCGTACGTTTCAGGTTCAACGTGATCACTTGTAATTTTCGAGAGGTCGAAAGCCGGCGGGGAATTACGTCGAACGGACAATCTTCCAGAACATTGAGGCCAAATGTTTCTTGGTTTCTCGCAATCGCCTGTCAACGGCTTGTTATTGGAATGTAAATAAAAATACCAATTCTTTAGACGACAACGTTATCAATCGGAAACGTCATATTGATGTCATGTCTTATATATCGAAATCTCTTGGGATTTCAATGTTAACTGAAACCATACCATGATTTTGAAGATAATTTTGCTGCACAACGAAGTATATAACAACACGCTAACATGTTTCTACTTTCAACACACTATATTGGCAGTTTAAATTAACACATGTACTCTGCAGATCCAAGTGTGTTATTTTCAAATGTATAAGCATGTAACTTGGCTTTAGTTCTTTTTACACGTTTCTTGCGTTTGTTTGAAATCACATAATTTTACACACATTTAAGAGACATATAAATTATAATTTAATATGCTTAAACGTGTTAAATGATGTGATTTGAAATGGCAAGGAACATGTTCAGGAACAAAAAAAAATTAAGTCAAAATAACACATATTTGGATTTATAATATATTAACACATATTAAAGTTAGAACAATGTTCTTACTTAAAAAATCTTTATGTTGAAGTGACAATATTTGAGTTTATATTAAATAGTGTATGCTGTTAGATGTTTACAAACATATGTGTATTAGTTTAAGATACAAATAATAGTGTTAAAAATAAAGACGTGTTAACAGTACAATGTCCGATAATTCTCTTTAGATGTCCGAAGCAATTATTTTGGTCCCTTGCAATTCTAATACCTTAAAATCTTTACTATTCCTCATTACCTTATATTAATAATGACTTCTAGACATACTAAGAACATAATTTGCAAAATATAAATATTTTATATATAGTAAAAGAATTACAATTTTCATAAATTTTCTAAACTTATAATTTTCTACAGTAGAAAGTCTCATAATTATTACTTACTTATTCTCTGTAATTAGTATACAAAGAAAATATTGTAATAAAAATTAGGTCAAAATTAGGTCAAAATCATATTTCCTTTTTGTGTAAAGTTGAATTGTACTGAAATTTTACAATTACTATATAAATATAAATATAAATTGTACTATAAATTTGACGATTAACTTATAAAAACGATATAAAACGATATAAAAAACATTCAAATAATTACAATAATTTTGTAGCAAAAAGTCAAACTTGCAAAGCATTTTTTAAATATACAGTAACTTCGATAATAATTTTATATGGTCCATTATAGAAATTTTTTTTTTAATTTTTGCTACAATATTTTCTCCGTACACAAAGAGAATAATAAATGGTGAATCATAAAAAATAAAATATAAACTTAATCGGGATTAAAAAATTTAAATCTCAATAGCTTATAAATTATACAACACACATTGAATTAAGGATACTATTAAAGGATACTATTGAATTAAGGATACACTATTAAATTAAGGATAAAAATGATTTTTTTGGACATCCAAGAGGTAAATCCAGAGTAAATTATAAAATAATTTATCGCAATATTATCGATCTCTTTTGTTACGTTTTTGGCGTCTTCTTTTTTAAAAATAATTAAAAGTCACGAGTTACTTCTTTTCTAAAGAAGAAATGAATGAGAAATAGAAATGGCGATAACAAGAAAGACGGAGTCAAAATGTCCCCATCAGATATTCTAATGTATCAACGTGTTGTTATAATAACACACTTAATTTTGCAATGCGTTACATCGTAGAAATAATAATTACGAGAAGTAATAATTACAAATTTTCGCACAAATGTGTCCAATTTATGTCTAACACAATCGTGCAATAGTTACGACATTTTCTATCGCCTTATTAGTCGCAGGACATAACGATATGAATACTAACTCGACCGTTCTCGCCGTCCTTCTCGCTTCCTTCCGTCTCCCGACCTCTTCCGGGCCGTCTCTCTCAGACTAAGTGTGAACGTGCAAGGTCGGCCTGGCACGCAACTTTCCTGCGATCTTGATTTCATCAACGTGTCTCCTTTTATTGTTGCGAGCTTAACGTGATCTTAAATATTTTGCCATCTCGACACGAGCTGTTGGCGCTTGCAAGCGGGACAATACATTTGCTCGCACGTTGGGCCAATCAAGCAGCTATGAAAGATCACGTCCAACCCCAACCCCGTAGTCATCTCCGCAACCTTCGAGCTCACCGCCGGCCATCCTTTACTCCAGACCGTAGCTTTCTCTCTATGTGGTGGGATAGGTAGGATAGATAGGTAGCCCCTGAACGGGTAGGTTGGTAACCGTTACGGCTTGCTTATATCCGCAACGCTCCCGTACCTCGTGTATTTTAGACCCGTTCCACTCTGCTAAAGTTAATCTACGGTGGCGGCATCGCCTCTGTCAGCACATTCTCCAACCGAAGTCCATCTATTCGCGTAAAAATCTCAGCACGCTGACTCCTTTCAATCGGCACGACGTTCCATACGATAAACTGATAATGCTCAAGAGCATACATATGTCGAAACGGGAATGATAAAGACGCGCGTGTTAAAAATTTTTAATGTGTCTCCGTTAGTGATGATCTCTGAATGAAATGTGTAGACGATTTAAATTTGCTTTCTCCTAATTCTAATTGTTATATCTTTCTAATTGTTATCAGTTCTACACGAATGAAAACGCATATGTGTGCATAGAAGGAGGAGAAAGTAGGTATGCATGTACTAATGTGTGCGTGTTTGTAGATGTGTGCGCTTTGATACATTGTGTCAAAGCTTTATGGATGATACATGCGTTATTATTATTAACGGTATTATTAACTGCTGACAGTTACAGCTTATACGCAGAGATAGGTTTCGCGTGTAGCTTGATTAGCAGTAAGCTCAAATGCGGCCGATTCGTGCCACGCGTGCTCCGACATTTCCGGCAAACACCACCACTCGTGCGTATAATAACTAGATACGAACACAGTGTAATTTCGTAATTTTGACGTCCTCGTTGGGACCTGGATTTCGTCGAGTCGGCAATCTCATCTTTTCGCCCTTCAAAAATACGAGAGTGGCACGGAACATTCGTGACTCTACTCGATGATATCCGGTCCTGTAGATTTCTCGGACTCAGCTTTCCTATAAACGCGACAGACTGTAATTCTTTTAAGGTCTTCACGCCAGCAAGGCGGCGAAGCTGAGTCAAAAATTAAATCGTTCCAACTAAAAATGCTGTTATCCTGCACACCCGATGGATAATAATAATCGGTAGATCGTGTTGGAAATGAAGGACGTGTACGCCGTAATAGCACTTGACGTTAATAAACGTACAACTAGTCAACGGGTAGCAGATAACCTAGAAAATACAGGGTGTGGTATAAGGCTCGCTGGTATAGCTGAAGGAATTTATTCGTCGTCTAAAAGTAGATCGAAAATATGAAACAAAATAATTTTGCTTCTATAAAAAAAGTGCATTGATTTCTCGAGAAAAGTCAGTGCGAAAATTAATAACATTTTTCCGCTTATTACGTTCGAGCGACATTTATAAACGTGTCGTCAAATTCGTCTCAACGGTTTCTCTCTCTCTCTCTTTCTCTCTCTCTTTCTCGTCGGTGCGTTAATTAAATTATAAGAAAAATGTTTTATTTAACAGATAAAAGTTCATTAATTTCTCATGCGTAACTTTTACAGCACTTTTAATTTTTGTATCACTTTTAATTATTTTTTACACGGCATGTTATATATATTATTTTATTCATTTTGTAATAGTCGCTATCAGGGTGAATTTAATGGCGTGTAATACAAAATTCTTTCGGGCCATTAAAATTTAAAAAAGGCAAAAGATAATATTAATTTTCCCCAATCTGCGAAAATCAATCTTCTCGGAATTTTAAATTTATAAAAAAAAATCGATCTCTCTCATATTTTTGGCTTACTTTTACGCGAGAAATTAACGTCCGCGTTCACATTACTGAACTCGCTTCGCATACTATTTGTATGAAAAATAAGCGCAATAGTAACGTGAGAACGTATAATGCCGACATCGTCGTGATAAATCATACTAACGAAATTAACAATCTAGTTTTGTCAGCTCGGAAAGTATGAGTTTCTAGGATACGATAAATAATGGATTAAGTAAACGTGTGTGTCAGACGTGACATCTTACGGTAACCGACGACGCATTACTAAATCTCATCGTGATCCTCTTGCGGGAAGCCTGCGAAAATCTTATGATAATACTGTATTCTAAGCACTTTCCGCTTACACACGGTCGCTATTCGTCTTAAGTAACTGTTTTCGTTAATGTTACATAATCACAGACTTATACGTGTGTAATCCGCGCGTATTTGCCGACGCGAAGGTGGAAAGACGGATGCGCGCATTCGATTCCAAGTTTGTCACGAAATCCGAAGTCCAAATATCAGCCTAGCGTTCAACAATGACGTAACATATATAAATGTGCCATGAATTTGCATTTCTGGGATTTTTATCTTATGACAAAGAAAAGAGAACGAAAGAACCCGTAATTGCGCAGGAAGCACGGCACGCTTTTGGACCCGTATCGATATCGAGGCTACATTTTGTAGATTCAGGATGTAAACTCTTGCGCGACAATAAGTTTCGCCGTATATACTCGTAAGTGTGCGACACACACTGACGTGCGCGCGCACACACACGCACACATATACACACATACGAGCACAAGGGATGGTGGTAGGTAGACGCGCACGCACGAGCCTCTACAGAACGAGAACGATGCAAAGGTTCCATGGACGTGTTATTGAAGGGGAGAGGAAGACGACGGTTCCGTGCGTCGAGTATGGATGATAAAGGCTAGGGGGTGTTGGTAGTTTGGTATTCTGGTGACGATCTGGGCTGCATTGCATCACGTATGCCGCGCCTTGGCTACAACGTAGGCCGTAGGTTTACACGTATATGGATATTCGGTGGCGGATCAGCGATACCTGCAGATACGCTCATCAAGCTATCTCGACCACCGTTAAATTGGAAGACACTTTGAGCGCGCTTGCTTACTTTGCAACTTGGGAACGCCGTGTAACTCGGTTAGCCGGCTTGCGCCACCGCTTGTTCGCCATTGATCCCACATTATAAATTGCATCGCAATTACAAGGGAATAAATTACTTTCTAGCGCTGCACGTTTTTTGAATAATTAATACGCGTTCGCGAGCCGTTGTTGAGCGAAATGGCGGTGTAAGTAGTCGGCAGAAATAAAAGCTCGACGTATTCCACTTTCCGAATGAAAATGCCGTTCATTACGGTTTATATGTGTAAAGAAAATCGATGCTTTGTATCTCGACGCTTGTACCTTTCCGTATCGAGTATCGATTGCACGCTAATTCCAGAAAACTGATTGCCAATTAAAGCGAAATGAATCGTCATACAAATATTAATTATGAAGTCATTTATAATTAAATTACAATCTCTTATCTTGAACTATTCATATTAAATATACGCCAAATTACAAAAGAGAGGGATTTACAGACAATGTGTGATAAGTATTAAACGGCCTAATAAAGGAAATTACACGGTTAAACGAGATTCCAAGACATCGACATAACTATAATAAAATATAGAAATAAGGAATAATCATACCGAGTTGCAATTTTATGCTGCAAATTAAGATGGTTTTAGCATTTGACTAAATATAAGATAAATCTATCATATATATATATGATATAAAAGTTAGTCAAACTGACAATGCAATAGAAAGAACGAAATGGATCAATTTCGTCCTAAAAAGTGTAATATAAGTTATATATGTAATTTTGTGTTTTTTAGGTCGCTGAATACAATAATAACATTTTTATTCGTCTGAACCCGTGGACAAGTAGTCAAAATTCACCTTAAAGATGTTGAGATAAGTCACTTTTAATAGTAATTTGATTACGATTTAGCTTTAATTATTGAATTCTTTGTGTTATAATTTAATTTTAAAACTTTTTTTATTATTAAAACTAAAGAAAAATGCTTTATAATAAAACACTTTAAAAATAATAAATATAACAAGGTGACATTAATATGATATATACATAAAGTTTGTTGATTTCATTATGTTAAATTTAGCATTTTTGAAGTGTTTAATTTTGAAGTGTAAAAAGAGTTATAAAATTAAACTACAATACAAGTAATTAAATAATGGAAACAAAATCGTCACTAACCGAATTTGCGTATTAAAAATGATTTATTTTGATTCATTTATAAAACAAACTTTGATCATTTTCCCACATGTTCAGACAGATAAAAATGCTATCATAGTATTCAGCAATTTAAACGTAGGATTATATATATAACTTACGTTATACGTTTAAGGTAAAAATCGACCCATTTTATCCATCCTCCTTTCAATAATCTTTACCATGTTGTTATAGTTGATATTAAATCGTAAATTTGTATGTAAGCATGTACATGTAAGATTTCTATAATACAACAAATTTATTTTAAATAATTTATATAAAACATTATATAAAACAAAACATTATATAAAACATTATATAAAACAAAAGTATTAAAAACTGTTCTAATAATGAAATAAACATTTAATCATATTGTAGTGAAATATATCGCATAAATTTATTATTAGGTAAAAATTTTAAATGTTTGATGAAAAATATTCGTGAAATGGACAATATTTGAGTGGACACATACCAACATCATATACATAATAAATTAACACCAGATCTGAAATAACTTTATGATATCACATTTTTATATTTATTTTTATATTTATTATTATTTTGAATGTTATATTTTATTATTCACACACATACACTTTAGCATAACATTTACGCGCTTCCAATAAAAATTTAAATTGATTGAAATGGATCACTTATCAAATTCTTTTGGCTATTTTAAACAATTTTATTGATAAAATACTGTTTCAAACCAGAAGGTAACTATAACCACCTTAAATGTATAAAAATCTTAACGTAATAGTTTTATTTCAATTTCTTATTGTTATAAAAAATGAACTTAGTGTCACAATAAAATTTCTAATGAAACTATTGTATCGACGAAATTACATGCTGGAAGAAAGTCTTAAAGGACATCAACACGCGCATTCGCGTTGTTGGTCATGTCTTGAGCATCTCGACGTCTTTGGTGTAAATTTTTCACATATATTATTACACATATATACGCGCGCG